ATTATATATTAATATGACAATAATTTATTAAGTCTCAAAAATAAATTATTAAGAGACATAATTTACAATTTTTTTTTTTAAATTTCGAATCTTTCATTTCCTGTTTATATTTTTATTAAGATTTTTTTCTTTTCTATTATGTGAAGGTTAAGTAAGGAGAGACAAGAACGATTCTCTATCTTGTTTATATTTTTATCAAGATTTTTTTCTTTTTCTTAAAAAAATTAATTTCTCCATATTCTTTGTTTCAATTTTTATCGAAATTTATTCTTTTTTTTAACAAAAAATCTCAATTCTCTCTTTTTTATTTTTATCAAGATTTATTTTAAAAAAAAAAGATTTCAAATTCTCCTTTCTTTGTTTCTAATTTTATCGAGATTTATTTTTTTCTAAAACAAAAATATCAAATTCGTGTATTAGATAGTGCATCGAGATGGAAATGTATTCATTTGCAAGTGTTCGCAATGAAAATATATAGTTTTGTAGGTGTTTGCGATGGAAACATGTCCAATTTGTGTGGACACAATCCGCCAAAGCATTCAAGATGCATCCATGACATGTTCACTCAAAAAAAAATGTCAGACTCGAGACACGAGTCTCCTGTTGTGCCCATGCAACATAGGTATCTGACATTTGATTATCAAATACCTATTTTGGTATACTTGCCCCTCAAGGCTCAAGAGAAACAATAAAATCTTGCACCAAGAGATTTGTGCATAATGTGAGGTGTTTCACTTCACCTTGACGTTTCATTTGGGAGGTAAAAAATGGCTCATCATGATCACTGACTTAGAGGAATCCAATGAAGTTAAGCTTCTATGAGCCTAACCTCTATAAATAAAAATGCTTTTTCAATTTGTTGTTGTACCACCTCCCTTGTACTTTGTTCTACAACAGAGTGTTTCTTGAGAGGTCAAAATAAAAACAAGAATATTAGATCACCTAATAGTTTTATCTTGATTAACTATGGACTATTAATTGGGTCACAAAGACCAAACCCAATAACTTAAAACATTTTATTATTAAAAAACCTTTTTAGTTTATTTTTAACTATTATTCAATTAGAGTTCAAATAATTTAACTTTTGATTAAAAAAGAAAACAGTTTAATCAATTAATTTCTTA